TCATGCACATATATATGTTTGCTTGTGTCATAAGGATCAAAAAGATCAGTTCACAAAGGTAACACATCAGGACAAGTATCCATAGTTTAAAAAAAAGTGTCAGTTATTCTCAGTGGAATCCAATTTAGTTTGAAAATAATAGTCACATGGCTGAAATAATACTTATCCTCATCTCAGCTTTTGTGAATTAAGCTAAAAGTAAATCAACCATAATTCATACATAATTTATCATAAATTAAAATTTTAAGTTTATGGAACAAGTCTCTGTCACTATCATGAGTTAAAATAATTTAATAAATAGTGTCTTATTCCACAACTAATTTACTTTGCTATTATTTTAAATTAAAATTGTATTTTAATAACTCACATTAATATGTTTGGTAAAATTCAAATTATAAAATTTGAATTTGCTAAAATAATTAGTAAAATTAAAAAATCAACATTATTATATTACGGTAGTTGTTATTGTGTAGGTTGCATACTGAAAATGTTATTACTGACATATTTATAATTACTGACATAAAAATATGACTTCATTAAATTTTTGTGGTAAACATAAAGTCTATTTTATGTCATTTATCTGTTTTTATTTCTATCAATTTAATAATTTATATAATGCAAGAGATTTAGTGATTTTTTTTTATAACAAAACTATACAATGTATGCAGAGGGTCTTTTCATTTATACTTAGCTACTAATATGCATAATTAAAATGTAATTGATTATGTACATACAATATAGTGATAGGATAATAAGTACTGTGTCAGCATAATGTTAACTATCAATAATTAATCTAAATTTTTTTTTGTGAAACAAATGCTGATTTAAACATGCAAAGGAAAACGCTATATGGTTTATTAGTGAGGTCAACAGTAAGAGCAAAAGGGCATTTTTAATTTAATTAGGTCAGACAAATTAAATCATTATTATTGACACATGACAGCCAGAAAATCCATAGACGCTGCTAAATAATAAACACATAAAAAAATATATATTTCCATCTATGGCATTTACAGCAAAGGTGACAAAACCAGAAATTACAGTAAAAGTGATAGTAAATGATAAATGTTAAAATAGTAATATACCACACTGGATAATAAACTCTCAGAAAGAGTTAATTCTTACCAAAATATGCCAGAAATTCTAATCCTTATTTAAACGAATGATGTTTATTTATACAGATGGCTCAAAAGGTGAAATTAAGTAATTAGAATATAAGTCAATAAAAATATATAGAAATAACTCAGGAAAGGTTTTTTTCATTTGCCAATAAATATTTTGTCTTGCTGACAAGATATCATGATGTTTAAAACGTCTTTGTTAACTCTATATATAAAAATATAAATGGAAAAATAAAGTTCCAGCCTTGAAAAAATGTAATGCCCAAATGTAATGTCTTAAATTATATTGTGGTGAAATATGCCGCACTACAAAACTGGATTGGACTGACTCAACACCTAACAAAAAAACCTGTGGAAGTATAGGAAAGTTTTAAAAATAAATAACCATTTTCCCTCAAAAGTGAAGAATGAAAAAACTGAATCACCAACTGACTTTTTGTACAATATACTGTATACCTCATAGAGGCAGTGGCAAGATTTCCGTATGGTAGTTTTTACTGCCACCAAGTTAATAAAGCCATATAATTCCTACTCTTATTTCTAGCTACACTTACCATTTTTTGTTATTTTAGCACTATGAAGAAAATATTAGCCATACATTTTATATTTAACTTTGTAATGTTCATGGTAGTAAAGAAATCTCATAGATATGTTTTAACGTGGACACCAAAAGTAATAAACCAGCATGTTATTCAGCAGATTTAACAGCTATTTTTCTGTATGTGCTAAAATATTCTTATTTGAAAAACATAAACTAATACAAACACCACATCTAAGGAATAGCAAGCTTCAATATATATGTTTTCTTCTGGGTTTATACTGTAATTTCAAAATGAATGAATTATCATTATCTATATGGGTATACTGGCCTCAAAATCAAGCAGCTTAACCACTCATTTCATCAATATTACTGTTCCTCAGATTTTTCTATAATCTTCTCTTTATACATGAATAGGAAATAAAATGACCTCTGTATGGCCTCATAATGCCTCCAATGGAGCTGCCACAAGAATAACGGGGTAGATATTTTCTTTCTTCTATAAAATCACAAGAATATAACCTGTAAACCAAAATACTTTTCACTTGGGATTACCCAAGAAATTGTAATTCTTAAAGTCTGGCCTATTCCAGCAATCCAACCCAAATATGCTCATAGTAACACAATAAGTAAATCCATAGGAATACGGTGAGTTGAAGTTACCATATCTGAAAATCTCAATGTTTTCAGTAAAATTAAGCTCCCACCTTCTAATCAAGCTTCTTGACTAGCCCTTAAAACTGGTGATAGATGGTTAGAATCTCATCCAGTTCAGCAGGGACTGGCCGAGATTCGAACCATCTATGGGCAGACTGCCTGTACCCAATTCAAATTTTTTATGTTATTTTTGCCAGCATCTATAGCCGCTTTCAGTAAACACTGTGTTCTCCTTACAAGGATGGCTCCCCCTGAACCCCCCTGCCAAGAGAACACAATAGCTCTATGAGGGGGATTCAGTCAGTGTTGATGGGGGAATTGAGCGATTTTTTTTTCCTGCAATCCGTGGTTACAGAAAAGAAAATCGCATTGTCTATGGCCGGCTTTACAGTTGAATTCCAGATATAGATGACTATTGCAGAGACTGACGTGCAAATAAATCCTATTATGTACAGTGATAGACACACAAGCATACCATATAAACGCTCAATGGAATTTCCCCTTGTTTCAGGAGAACCTAGTGTAGGAACTGTGTTCTTCTAGGAATTGACTCACTGATTCTTGGGCTGCTTAAAGAGACGGACTGTTGGACTTAAGTAAGATGCTTCAAGCTGTGCTAAGAAACACTATTACTATTGAGTTGAAAAAGATAAGTAAAAGCATCAGAGCACAATATGAGATTCATGCATCTTATCTCCTGCAGAAGTGACAAGGAATATGTGCTGTGGGAAATGGAATTATGGCTTCTTAAGAGGATTTCCACACATAAAGCAAATGTGTTGAAAATGTTTTTGGGAGATAAAGCATAGATGAGGTGCTGATACGTACCACATAAATGAAATCCAGGAGAAGGACTTCTCCAGAGCCACCAAGACTTCTCCAGAGCCTCCCCCATCCTATAGAACTCTCTACCCCAATCTGTCAGACTAGCACCTACTCTGCCCACTTTTAGGTGATCCTTGAAAACCTATCTCTTGAGGAAAGCCTATCCTGTCTTCAGCTAATAACCGAATCTTCTATTTCTCAGTCCATCCCCCACAGTTATTATCTATTGTACCATCAGCCCCTCCCTATTAGACTGTAAGCTCCCAGGAGCAGGGCCCTCCTTACCCTCTTGTATTGAACTGTATCACTGCTGTATTGTCTGCCATTATATTGTAAAGCGCTGAGCAAACTGTTGGCGCTATATAAATCCTGTATTATAATAATAATAATAACAACTTGAAGGTACTAAAAGTGTGAAAGTCCTGCTGGGTCATGCTTTTAAATGTTTCATTTGTGGTTGTGCCAAGGTTAAACAGGGCAAGAATTTGCAGAAACTGGTCAGAACCTTTTGAATAAACCATACCCCACTCAAAATCTCAATTTTTTCCTTCCGTTTTCACCCCGTGATCTGGCGAGTAACAAACCTCATGCATTAGAGTGACCCCACTCTGAATGAATGAGAACAGGGACACCTTTGGACAGAATGCATGGTGATCTGTGGGGCGCAGAGTGTTAAGTGCACTAGCAGATTTACACTATACAAATACACTAAAAAACTGAAGCGAAACTCCAGCTAATACTTTATAAACAGTTACAGCAAACAGTTTTTTTTCTTTTTGGGTTACATGTTCTATATAAATAAGTATAAGTTGATCATTGTAAGCACCCCTTTCAGTAGTAAATGGTTTGTCTCAATCCTGTAACTGCTACATCTGCAGACAAACAACTGACTTGCCAGAGCATCAGGTGAAAAAAAAGGAAGAAAGCCTAAAAAAGAATATTAATGCAGCCATGACATCTAAGAGTTGATAAGCTGCAATATAATAAATGTTTGATTTAGGGTTTAATAACTCTTTAAGGAAAAACACTTGTAAGCTGCACTGTCAAAGTTTGTCCCCCTTCCTCCTACCATAGTTTAGCAACAGAGTTTACTTCCTGTGATATGAGGAATTCTTAATTTTATCAAGAGAAAGGGCACTGGTTGCTTGTTGATAAAGGTAATTTCTGCAGAGGTTGAAGTCCAAAAAATTTGCTATATGATCACTCAATGGAGTTTCCCCTTTCTTAGGGGAGCATGGGGTAGGGACTGTGTTCATCTAGGGATTGGTTCTCTGTATCTTGGGCTACATAAAGAGACCCTTGTTGGGGCTGGGCAGTTAGACTTGCTTCAGCTAAGGAGCGCTATTACTGTTGAAATGAGTTACTGATCCAATGATCAAGATGTTATATTATGCATTTAAAAGGATTTACGTAAACACTCCACATCACAATATGAAGCATGTACATTTTATCTCCAGTGGTGGTGACAAGGAATATGTTCTCCTGGAAGTGAAATGAGGGCTGCTAGAGAATTTCCAGGCAGAAAACAAATGGGTTTCAAATGCCTTTGGAAGGTAAAGCATAGGTGAGACCTTTGGCGATAAGTATTATGTACAACAACCATAACCAAGTCTAGAATTTCTAGTTAACTTAAATAACATTTTTGTTTTTCTGAGTTTTGTAACTGTGAAAAATAATCTTATTGGTCAAACCCATACTTTTGCATGGTTTAGATAAATTAACCTTTTTCATTTATGCTTCTTTTTTTCGCAGATATTGTATTACCCAAGCAAATTGGTGGATTAATGTCTGCCCCTTCAGTGGAGCAGACTCTTCCTTCCATTAGCAGCACTGGGAAAAGTCCTACTTTGAAATGCATCATGCAAGGTAGCAAAGTGTCTAACCATGTACTGTCCTGGTATCGTCAAACTAAAGGAAATGAGATACAATTTCTTGTGAGTCACAGGGATAAGAATCGCCCGACTTATGGAGAAGGAATTGCAGAAAGATTCATCCCTGAACTTGAGGAATCTACAAATGCCTTCACTCTGACTATTGGGAATGCAGAAAAAAGTGATGAGGGCTTGTACTACTGCGCAGTGTGGTACTCTAACCAGTATATCTTTGGACAAGGCACACAGGTCAAGGTGCAGGGTAAGAGAAAATTTCTTCTCATGATTTTGACTGTAAGGTACATTTGAGTATAATTATTCTTGTTATTTATAATCCTTTTAGTTATTTATATTGCCTCTTTATCTCCAATAACTCCAAAGTGCATGATGAAAACAAAGGTGAACAATATGGATAATACAAATATATAAGAGCATTTGAAATGACTAGAATATGTTGCTGTAGCAAAACCAACACAGCAATAACAAGACAGGGAGAGCCCTGCCCATACCAGAACACAATAAAGAGGATAACTGTGCAGTGATAAGTATGCCAATTCTATGAGAACAATAGAGTTTTTTGTTGTGCAAGAAGGTACATACTTCCTTATGGAAGTATGTGGAATTAAAGGCTAAAAAATTATTCTGCTTAAAAACGCTACGTTGAAAAACTGTGGCTTCCCTGCGCCAGTAAGAGCTCAACAACAAAGCTGAATTCATAGAGCCATGATGTCACCAGCAAGGTTGCCCCTCCATTGTCGGTGCTCCCTCCCAATGTTTTTAACCATACTTATATGAGCTTTTACTTCCACTTTAACAGATGGAAACTGCAACTCACTATGGGATACCTAAAGGCTAGCACAGCAGAGCTGCTTGTTTTGGGGCTCAAATTGTCTCATATAAACATTGGACTGAGCTGTGTAGTTAGGATTTTTCTTCAAAGAAACAAACTGAGTGCCTTTAAAAAATGAAAAGGAGCCCAATGTTCCACTCACTATATTATATTTACCTGTCTGAAAAAACACAAATGCTGTTTAAATATCTAATATTTTATTCCTGACCATAATAAATAAATAATGTGCAAAGATACTATACATTCCCTTTTACAGCATTTAAAGGGGAACATCACTATCTCAGTCAACACTGACTATTTTAAATCCTTATGCTGCTAGCATTAGTAAATAGATAGGAAAGTGTATCATATTTACTTGTTTTAAACTGTTTTTTACATTTATATAGTTACTTAATTTCCATGCCTAGGCAAGTGATGTCATACATCCCAGGAGTCTTCAGGATGGGAGTTTTCTCAGCTAAGCACACCATCCCGTCTGCATGCCTGAGCTAAGGGAAGATAGATTCAAGTAATTGCTGAATCATCTGCCCTTACTCAAGATGGCAACAGCCATAAATGCTGGTTTGTGTTGCTTAGATACTATGTAGTTCCACTTTAAGTAGGTAATCACATAATATTACATAAAAATCACCACCTGAATAAGCTTATATAAGCTTATAAACGCATCCATATGTGAAATGCAGTAATCAATATACTAAAAAGAAAGTACATACAAGTGTGAAAGTCATATCAGATTTGTGTTTATGAAAATGTTACAATAAAAACCAAAAAAATGTGCTTTTACAAAAACAAATAATATACTAAAAAAAATATTACCGATAAATAAAATAAATATTCCTCTTATAAACTCCGCTGTGTGGGATGTGTAAACATCTAGTATGAACAATATAAGAGGAATATTCATTTTATTTATCTGTTAATTTTTTTGAGTATATATAGCATACAGGTATTTAGTCTGGGAGCGCAGCACCATTTTTTCTCCCTTTCTTTGCTATTCTACTCAGGTGTATAGCCAGGTGACAGCAGCTTCCCTATCTTAGGTTATTAGTATATTCTGGGTAGCACAGGTGGTTCACATACACACCTGTCATGTATTGACTTTTTTCCTGGTGTGGCTGGCTGGCTAGTACCATTGCCCAAAGGAGATATAATTATTATTAAGAATTAAAAATGGTGTCTTTTTAGAAAGCAGTGGTATGGCTGCTTTTAAAAGAAAAAAAAACTACTGCACAATTGTAAAATGCAGTACAGTGCTTTACAAATGTGCTGACTTTGGACATTTGAAGCTCATGGGGGGATATTGAAATCGGTGAGAGAGAAGTCACATGGCTGGATCTCCCCTGATCATGGAGCTGTTGCTAGTGTCTAAATATTTTTCCACATTTGCAGCCAAATTGGGATAACACCTACTATATATTTGTTATTTGGCATAATTTTAAAAATATTTGAAAATTAATAGTTACCTTTTTTTAGCATCTTTTACTTGCTTAAAAATCCTTACATGCTCTCCCTGAATTGTAATGTCTAGGAGGGGCTGTGGAGTAATCCTTAACATAATTAATTTAATCCTGACTGTACTGTTTACACATTTCTTAATTATCAGCTATACCTGAACACTGTTCGTCCCAAAAAAGGCCTAAAACTGTATAAGCCGCTCTCCTGCATTATATTTTAATGAGGGATAGCTCTCCATGACACTTCTCCTTAGAAATATCAAAAGAGTAAGAATTATTTTTATATTGTCTTAGGCAGGGCTTAAAATTTCGTGTCTAGACCTACTAGCCAGGCACAAAACCTTACTCTCCACCAGTTGCCCCACCCAACCTTGCCCAGGTCCGCCTCCATCCATCATCTGTGCTCGCCGCTCGCCACACAAGAATTTCTCCTCGCATTTGGCGAGCGGCTTTTTCAAGCCCTGGTCTTAGGTATGCTGTGTGAATGGGGACACATAACAAGCATACAGTGCTGTGAAAGTATTTTTTTGCATATTTGTCACACCTATATGATTCAGATCATCAAACACATTTTAATATTACACTAAGATAACCAGACTAAATAAAAAAATGCAGTTTTTAAATGTTGATTTTATTCATTAAGAGGAAAACATCTGTTCAAACCTGCCTGGCCCTATGTTACATAGTTACATAGTTAGTCTGGCTGGAAATAGACAAAAGTCCATCCAGTTCAACCATTTAAAAAAAACAAAGTCCTTCACCCACAATTGATCCAGAGGAAGGCAAAAAAAGCCCATCAAAGCATGATCCAATTTGTTCCTGTAGGGGAAAAAATTCCTTCCTGATCCCCCAAGAGGCAATCGGATATTCCCTGGATCAACCTTACCTATAAATGTTAGCATCCCGTTATATTCTGTGTATCCAAGAAAGAATCCAGGCCTTTTTTAAAGCAATCCACTGAGCTGGCCAGAACCATCTCTTGAGAGAGTCTATTCCACATTTTCACACCTCTCACTATGAAGAAACCTTTCCATGTTTGGAGAGTAAATTTCCAATTTTCTTTTCCTCCAGAAGTAAAGAGTGCCCCCTTGTCCTCTGTGATGACCTCAGCGTGAATAACTCTACACCGAGTTCACTACATGAACCACTGATGTATTTATACATGTTGATCATATCCCCCCTTAATCTCCTCTTCTCAAGAGAGAATAAATTCAGTTCCTCTAATCTTTCCTCATAGCTGATCTCCTCCATGCCTCTTATCAGTTTGGTTGCCCTTCTCTGTACTTTCTCCAGTTCCCCAATATTCTTTTTGTGAATTGGTGCCCAAAACTGAACTGCATATTCCAGATGAGGTGTTACTAATGATTTGTACAGTGGTAATATGATATCTCTCTCTCTGGAGTCTACACCTCTTATAATACAAGAGAGGATTTTGCTCGCTTTAGAAACCGCAGCTTGGCATTGCATGTCATTATTAAGTTTTTGATTTACCAGAACCCCCAGATCCTTCACCATTGATTCCCCCAGTTGTACCCCCCCAGTATGTATGTGAAAAAGTAATTGCCCACCTAAACCTAATAACTGGTTGTGCCTCCTTTGGCGCAAACAGCTGCAATCAAGCATTTGTGATAACTGGCAATGAGTCTTTCACATCACTGTGGAGTAATTTTGGCCTACTCTTCTTGTAGAATTGTTTTAATTCAGCCACATTGCAGAGTTTTCGAGCATGAGTGGCCTGTTTAAGGTCATCCCACAGCATCTAAATCAGATTTAAGTCTGGACTTTGACTAGGCTATTCCAAAACCTTCATTTAGTTTGTTTTGAGAGATTCTGAGGTGAGCTTGCTGGTGTGTTTTGAATCATTCTTTCTTTCTTATTGTTGAATCATGAACACTGAACTTAACTGAGGCAAGTGAGGCCTGCATTTCTTTAGCTGTTGTTCTGGGTTCTTTTATGACCTCCCGGATAAGTTGTCGTTGTGCTCTTTGAGTAATTTTGGTAGGTTGGGCACTCCTGAGAAGGTACACCACTGTTCCAGGTTTTCTTCATTTGTGGATAATTGTTCTCACCATGGTTTGCTGGGGTCCCAAAGCCTTAGAAATGGCTTTGTAACTCTTTCCAGACTGATACATGTCAATTGCTTTGTTTCTCCTCTGTTGTTGAATCTTTTTAGATCATGGCATGATGTGTTGCTTTTTTAGATTTTTTAGGGTGCTTCACTTTGTCAGACAGCTTCTATTTAAGTGATTTCTTGATTCATCAGGTCTGGGTGTGGCAAGTAAAATTTAACTCAGCTTTCCAAAAAATGTGGTTAATCACAGTTCATTCATGATTTAGTGAGGTAGGGAAGCGGGAAATTACCTATTCACATAAGGCCAAACAGCTTTTTTCCCTTAACCACTTACCCTCTTGAGGATTTACCCCCCCCTTCCTACATATCCAATAAAAACATAAAAAAACCTAAAATATTTACATAAATTTAGGCCAAAATGTATTCTGCTACATGTCTTTGCTAAAACAAATCCCAATACATGTAAATTAATTGGTTTACATGAAAGTTATAGCATTTACAAATGGTGGTATAGATACTGGGATTTTTTTTTCTACTAGTAATGGCAGCGATCAGCGACTTTTAGTGGAACATTCTGACACTGGGGGGGAACTAACTTGGTGTCACCGACATCCCCAGTGACACCAATACAGTGATCAGTGCTAAAAAAAAAAAAATCACTGACATACTAATGACACTGAGCAGGAAGGGTTTAACATGAGATGTGCTCAAAGGATTAACTATATGTAGGGATTGTTTTACTAGGGGGCGGGAGGTGTGTGCTTCACTGTAAGCACACTGATTGGGATGGCTGTGCTGTGCACAGCCATCCCGAGCAGTGTGCCTGAGCTGACAGGAAGGAAGACTGTAAACAAAACAGTCTTCCTCCCTGTTGGAGATGCTCGGTAATCACTGGGCGCCGGCGGGTAATTACTGTCCAGGGCCTGGTGATTGA